TAATTCAAGTTTTGATCATTCCTCCTTCTCTATAAAGAAATGAAAAGTCAGAACAGTCAACAGTCTAACAGCTCTATGAAATGGTGACTTGTGCATACTTTTTATCGGCAAAAGACCAGTTATTTTGAAGGATGTGTGAGGTCATGGGAAACGCTTCCCTCCAGAATGCAAATCAGGAAAATACCCTCGGGCCGACAAGGCCCTAGCCAAGCCACATTCACATCAAACTTTCTAATTTTTGCTCCATCACGGTCCGGTATAAGTGATATAAAAACTGCGAATAGAGTTTCGTGAAGTTCATGGCCCATAGAAATTTTTTCTGCCTGCATTAATTTGGCCGTAGTGAACCTTCTCCCATAGCAACAGGTTACGGATGCAAAATCCTCTCAGCGCAAAGAGCTGGCGAGCACCTCCTTTGAAATAACTCCCACACCAACTCCCATTCAGGCCTTTCCTCTAGAACAAAGTCCGCTTTCAGAGTTCTTCAAAGACATAATTTCACACAAATTACTTGCAAGTGAATGGGATCACCAGCAAAAGTCCTTCATGAGAACTGTTTTTATAGCCTTTCTAGTTCAGACCAATTTCATCTCCGCGATCTCACGTCATTTTGCGAAAAAGGCAACCTTAATAAACATAGGGCAATTTTCTTACTCCTTTGCAATAAAAAAACCACTGACTGGAATGTATTCGCATTCAACTATCTCTCAGAAAGTTCCTCTTCCTTCAATTTTTGGACAGTCACAACCTTGAAGCAAATACGCGTTTTTTCTGGACAGTCACATATCAGATTAAAGCACGAGATGACTTCGGAGTATAAGGCTCTGTCCTCTTCTTCGCTAGCTACCAGATACTGTATTGAAATTGTTCTCACAATAGCGCGGAACGCGTCGGTTTCAAGTCGAGGTTTAATGGACTCTATTTAGTAAGGGCGGAAGTGGTGTAGTGGCAAGTGGCACGCTTACCACGCGAGCGGTCCGGGGATCAAATCCTGGGTCGTGAGTCGCCCGGGCCAACCAAGCCTTCCATCCCTCCGGGGTCGGTTAATTGGTACCAGACTTGTCTGGGAGGATAAAAACACTGACTTGTACATCGGCTGGCCCCCGCAAGTCATTGTATAGGCCACATCGCATTCAAACGCCACTACGAATGTACAAATGGAAAATGGAACAAATGGAAGTAGAATGCGTGCCGCATCCCAAAAAGGGATTGATCAACGGCAAATGCTTTATCCTTTTATCCTTTATTTAGTAATCCCTAAATTTTGTTTCCCAAAATCGCCTACATTATAGATAAACTAATATAGCTAAATCTATAACTAAAAGCTTTAAAGTGGTGTTGAGGCGGAAAGAAATAATAGGAGAGATAACAGAGATTAGCAGTGAAAAGATTTCTAGGCTGAGAAAACTTTCGAATGCGTCCTTTGTACAAATTCTTTTCAGCCAATACCTACCAAACTGGTTAAGTGATCCCTAAAAAAGTGAACTTGGTTTGTTACCCGTGCAAATCGATCCCCACCTACCCACCGTGTGACGGTGCCTCCAGCAAAGGATTGTCTCAACTTGCACCTGGTTTAGCTTCCTTTTAATTTGACGAGAATAACTGGGTCATTCGGCGGGTCAAACTTTGCGGGATACCTGGTGCACATGCTCATCACCTTTCACCCTTGCACTGTAGATGATCAGCAGGCCACTGTACCTAGGCTCCATGGAGATGAACTTGTACTAAACTACAGTAAGACTGGATTCTACGCCCTGTATGCCACCGACACCTACAAAACAAACCAATAAACGTATACACAATAAATAAGTAAATATGCGGTATCACGATTTTTGAGGATTCCTCTGTTGAACCTTTGTAAGGTCCCATTCTCTCGCTCCGTAAAACCACTCGTATCGAATTCAGCGCACTCGCCAAGTGTCAGAATCAGGCTGGCGCCTGATAACTGATAAGGGAAAACGTGTACACTAGGGCAGTGCTGCTCTATGCCGATTGCTCTTTCAAAATCATTTTTGTGGAAAATCCTGAGTCGAGTTTTTCTTTGGACAGGACCATCAGTGCATTTAACATTTCCTCATTGAATTTCCGAGCCATCACCTCTTCCATTTTGTTTTCTTCAAAAACACCGTCTTTGAGGTCTTATGCTGCTCTTATCAGTCAGTGGGCACTGGACCGAACCTTCAAGACCTGTCGCCTCATCATTCCTCTTCCTCTGCCAGTCCCATTATAACGGTTTTTTCTCTCTCTTGGTTGCCTAGAGAAATCATTTTGAAGTGCTCACCCTGTTTCAAATGCTTTTAGGAAGTTTTCTAACTACTCATGAAATCTGTAATGAATCTGTTGATATTTTCCGAGTACTTATTAAAGTAATTGATGCTAACTGGCTTGGAGACATTACGAGTATCAGATTTGGTTATTATCAGTAATGTCGTAATTGATATCGCCGTCAAACTCCCATAAAATGTTTCATTTGCCGTGGAATGTAACGTGAAACAGCTTGCGCTTATGCAACGTCCCGAACTCGTCTTCACCTGCCTTCCTAAATTGGATGGGTTGGTAAATAAGTTCGTAGCGTTCGATCTCGCCTCTCTTATGGCAATGTGTGACTCACACAGTACCAACGAGCTCCCTAGCCGTTCTTGTGGACCTTTTAGTTTTTCTCATGAGCATTACCAAGAGCACGAATTTTTCCAACCCCACAAAACCCCCTTCATGACTTTTTGGTGCGGTCTGTCACCATGTCCGAATCGCTCTTTTTATTCTGGGAATAACGCTTTCGAACAGATAATTCTCATCCAGAATTCCAAACCATACGGCATAAATGTACAGAACCGCTTTGACATGCTTTGTGATCTCTATGAAGACTAAGAAATAGCAGTTGCTGTGCAGGACGAGTTTTGCTGATTGGATATTCTATTTTCTTATTTTCGAAGGCAAGTTCCGGAATTCCCGGTCGAAATTAGGAAAAGAAGAAAAGAGAGAGTGGTACGGCCAGCGGTGAACCTTTATACAAATGCAATGACCAATCCAACAAGGCTAAAGCGCTAGAGCCTAACAGAGCAGCTTGGCTCCCTACTGGTAAGAGGGGGATCCTCATTTTTATTTTGTCAATACATCCAGTTTCTTACATTGCTGACGTACTCTCCAGCCATCTCCACTAAGTCAGCTAACGAGCGTATTTACGTGGCATAGTCCATGCTCCAGACTATGCTTTTAAAGTTCTTCAAGAGCCGATGGCTTTAGATGGATTACTAATGAAACTCAAAAATTTCGGACATTTATATGAAGTTTTGAAAATAATCTTCCAATCATGATAGTGATGCAAGAAGTTGGGGCGGAGTTAGTTCAAACATTCGAACAAAAACGCTATGAACGTACTTGCCAAACCAACTGTAAAAAAAAATCAAGAGCTCTGAACATCCCTTATTATTCTTCACATTTCCCGTTGTGTCTTTAATAGTGGCAGTAGAAGATGAACCGAACGGATTTGCAAGTGAATACTATCTCTCGCCCCCCCCCCCCCCCCAATAGGCATACCTAGTTTTCTATTAAATTTTGCATGTTTAGCGGTTCAACCCCTGATTATGCCCTTAGGCCATTATTAGGAAGAATCTCCGCTCCCCCTAATCAGCCCGCAGAGGTATCCTACTCAAATACTTTGTCCCTCCGTGCGAAGAATGATAGAATTCAGTTTTTTCTGCTAAGCGCAGCGAAGTCCTGCTCAGTGCGTTTCAAGCTTTTTGAAAACGGTCTTTTGCATGATATAGGGGCACATGCGGAACCACAGAACCATGGTTCATTTTTCCTGAACGGCCCTCTGAATACCAGAAAAGGGGTCCCTAGTTCGATTCCTCGTGGTGACAAATTTTTGCATTTCGAGTTGACGTTCCAAAATTCGCGCAAAATGGAGTTAGCATGAATAATTAGTACCATATTCATGATTAGGCCGTCAGTAACTCCTACAAAAAGACTTTGACTTAAAAATTGGTGTGAGAGGTGTGACATCAAGCAGCCCCACTGTGGTGTCACACCTTTTTCACCAGTTTTTTAATCAAAGTCTATTTGTAAGGGTTACTGACGGTCCTAATCATGAGTATGGTACTGATTATTCATGCTAACTCCATTTTGGCGCGTCAACTCGAAATGCAAAAATTTGTCACCACGAGGAATCGAACTAGGGACCCCCTTTTCTGGTATTCAGAGGGCCGTTCAGGAAAAATTAAACATGGTTCTGTGGTCCCCGCATCTGCCCTATATCATGCAAAAGACCGTTTTCAAAAAAGCTTGGCACGCCCTGAAAGACCTTCTGTAAAGAGGCTGCAGGATATATTTCATAACTCAACAGGCGCAGGGCATTTCTCCTGATTAATCTAAGGTTTCAGCAGATCCATCATAGATTATCTTGGTCCCTAGGGTGTTGTACTGTCGTTTCACGTTGCCTTTTTCGACTTTTTCATCGTCTTTTTCCTCTTTTGGTCGCTTGTTATTATGCTTTCTTATAACCTTACATGAGTTCACCCCGTAATAAATATAAAAATATATGGTTTTTATATCCAGATGATCGACAAGGAGAAACGCGAGATCCTGCCCACGTTGATCACAAAGTCGTACGTGACGCGAAGATTACCCACTCTGTTCGCAATGGCTTTTGTGGTTCGTTGCTCGAGAGCTGATTATACATATTGGGCTGCTGGAAAAATTTTGCGACACTTTGATTAAAATTCTATTAAAAATGGAAAATTTTGACTTGTTCCGTGAAGCTTTCTGGAAGTTCTAAAGACTCCCAATAGAGACGAGCGTATAAAGGAGCACACAAAACGATAATACAAGTATAATACTGTTCGAATTTGTTCTGTTGAAATATAGGTGAAAATTTTCAATTCCGCAAAATATTCCTTCAACCCATTGTTTTTGCTTCCTATTGTTTCTACATATTCGTGCATATTGCAGGGGATCGGTTGGACTTTGAACGAAGTGGCATTGGCATGGATTCATGAACGCGTTCCCCGGGATACACCACCGTTGCCTGATTTATGGTTTTCATGGTTTCCCGAGGTAAGATAGGAGGTTTTCCCTATGAAGGGGACTAATTGAAGAGTATGTATTCAACCATTTCAATGTCTAATTTCAGGTCAGAGGAGCAATCAGAATCACTGAGTACATTATGATCATTCTTGTGGTGAACGCTGTCGTGGTAATTATTACCCACCAACACAGGTT